TTTTAACGATATTGATTCTTCCAATCCATGAGCATTGGATATTTTTCTATTTGTTTGTTTTTTTCATCATTTCTTTCATCAGTGTTTTGTAGTTCTTGTTTTTTTCTTTCAACTCCTTGGTTAGATGTACTCCTAGGTATTTTTTTGTGTGTGTGTGTGTGTGTGTGGGAGGGGGCTATTTTTTTTTGGACTGAGTTCTTAATTTGTTTTTCAGCTTGAACTTTTTTTATGTATAGAAATGTTACAGATGTTCGCATATTCATTTTTTTTCTTGAAACCTTACCAAACTCATTTATCAAGCCTTTTTTTTTTTTTGAAGAGTCTTTAGGGTTTTCTGGGTGTAATTTTTTTTCATCAGTGAATAGAGATAATTTAACTTCCTCTTTTTTTTTTTAGATGCATTTTATTTCTTTCTCTTGCCTGATATTTTTTTCTAGGATTTCCGGTACTATGTTAACTAGGAGTGGTGAGAGTGGGCATCCTTGTCTATTTCTGGTTCTTAGAAGGATTTTTTTCAACTTTCCCCGTTCAGTATGATCTTAGCTGTGTTTTTGCCTCATATGGCTCTTATTATTTCGAATTATATTCTTTTTTTTTCTAGTTTGATGAAGGTGTTGGTCATGAAAAGATGTTTTTTTATTAAATGCTTTTCTATTGAAATAATCATTTGGTTTTTTTTTTTAATTCTGTTTTTGTGGTTAATCACATTTATTTTTTTTTTTATGTTGAACCATCCTTGCATCCCTAGAATAAATTTTTTTTGATCATGTGGGAATAAAATCCACAGTACATCATTTTTTTTTTTTGATATGCTGTTGGATTCAGTTTGCTAGTATTTTTTTTAGGATTTTTGTGTGTGTTCGTCAGGAATATTGGCTTTTTTTTTTCTCTTTTTGTGTGTCCTTGCTTGATTTTGGTTTTTTTTCAATACCAGTTTTATAGAATGAGATGGGAAAGAATTTTTTTTCCTTCATTTTTTGAAATAGTTTCAGTAAGATTGATTTTAGTTCATCTTTGTACATCTGGTCAAATTCAGCTGTGTTTTTTTCTGGTCTTGGACTTTTATGGGGGTGTATTTTAAATTTTTTTTTTAATTTTGTGACTTATTTTTGGTTTGTTCACATTTTTTTTTTATTCCTGGATCAATCTTGGGAATTGCATGTTTCCAGGAATTTATCCATTTCCTCTAGGTTTTCTAGTTTGTGTTTTTTTAGGTTCTCATATTACTGTCTGATGATCTTTATTGTTTTTTTGATTATATTCTAATACTTACTTTATCATTTCTGATTTTTTTTTTTTTGGATCATTTCTCTTTTTTTCTTGGTGACTTTTTTTTAGCAATCTATCGATTTAGCTTATCCTTTCAAAGTTTTTTTTTTTTGTTTCATTGATCTTTTGTATCTATTTGGTCTCAATCTCATTTAGTTCTGCTCTGATCTTTGTTATTTATTTTTTTTTTGTGGCTTTGAGTTTGGTTTGTACTTGTTTTTCTTTTTTTTTGAAGTGGAATATTAGGCTTTTAGTTTGTGATCTTTCTATCTTTTTGTAGGCATTTAACACTATAAGCTTTCCTCTTTTTTTTACTTTTGTTGTATCCCAAATGTTTTGGTATATTTTTTTTTTATTTTTATCCAGTTCAAAAAATTTCTTGATTTCTTTTTTTATTTTATTATTTACTCAAAGATTGTTCAGGAGCATTTTTTTTAGTTTCCATGTATTTGCATAGTTTTGAGAGTTCTTTTTTTTATTGATTTTTAATTTTATTTCACTGTGGTCTGATTTTTTTTTTGATATGATTTTAATTTTTTTGAATGTATTGATTTTTTTTTTCTGGCCAAGCACATGGTTTATTTGGAGAATGTTTTTTTTGTGAATAAGAAAAATGTATATTCTACAGTTGTTTTTTTTTGTGCAGTAAATGTCTATTAGGTCCATTTACTCTATTTTTTTGTTTATACCCAGAGTTTCTTTTTTAAAAATTTTTACTTTTTAAGCTATCTCCTACTGGAAGGAGCAGCCAGAGTTTTTTTTTTGATTTTCTGCCTTTATGATCTGTCTTATACTGTTTTTTTTGTGTTGAAGTCCCTTACTATTATTGTGTTGCTATCTATCAATTTTCTTAGGTCTAATAGTGTTTGTTTTATGAACTTTTTTTCTCTGATATTGGGTGCATATACATTTAGGGTAGTTTAATGATTTTGCTGAATTGAACCCTTGATCATCATATAATTTTTTTTTTTGTTTTTTTTTTCACTGTTGTTGATTTAAAGTCTATTTTATCTGACATAAGTATCTGATACTTATATAAAAACTTTTTTTTGTGTGTGATCACACAAACTGAAAACACCTTTACTTTGAGTCTGTAGGCATCTTTACCTATTAGATGATACTCTTTTTTTTTACTAATTATTGGGTCTTGTTTTTTAAATTCATTTTTTTTTTCTATATCTTTTAAGCGGAGCATTTAGGCCATTTATTTTTTTGTTAATATTGATAAGTTTTCCTCCAGTCATAATTTGTTGATAGCTAATTGCTTTGTAATCTCAGTTGTGTAATTGTTTTTTTGGATCTGTGAACTTTGTACTTAAGTTTGCTTTTATTTTTTTGCATCTTGCCCTTTTATTTCCATGTTTAGAACGCTTTTTTTCATTTCTTGTAGGACCAGCTAGTTGTGATGAATTTTTTTTTTGTTTGCTTGCCTGGAAAGACTTTATTTTTCTTTTTTTTTTGAAGCTTATTTAGGCAGGATAGAACATTCTTGGCTTTTTTTTTTTTTTCTTCAAGAATGCTGAAAATAGGCCCCCTTTTTTTTCTGTTTATAAGGTTTCTGATGAGAAGTTCACTGTTTTTTTGATGGGGTTTTCTTTATAGGTAGTTTGACACTTCTCTCTAGGTGCTTTTAAAATTTTTTTCTTTCAACTTGACCTTTTTTTTTCTGATGACTATGTACCTTGGTGATTTTCTTCTTTTTTTTTAGCTCCCAGGTGTTCTCTGCACTTCTTATATTTGTTTTTTTACATCTCAAGCAAGATCGTGAGAAAACTGACTGCTTTTTTTCCACCATCAAAGGATCACACTAGGTCTCTAGCAATTTTTTTTAACCAAAATAAAAATTCTGAAGTGACAGAAAAATTTTTTTAAATATGGATTGTAAGAGAGAACAGTTCAATCCATTTTTTTGTTAAAAAAACAACACAAAGAACTCAGATAAGTAATTCCGGATATGAAAGAAGAGAGAGATATCTTTTTTAAAAATTTTTTTTCTGGAAATAAAAAATTCACCGAAGGAATTTCAATTTTTTTCTGAAAGCTTTAATAATAGACTAGATCAAGCAAATTTTTTTATTTCAGAGCTTGAAGACCAGTCCTTCAATTTAATTTTTTTAGAAAACAAATAAAGAAAAAAGAATTTTGAAAACTTTTTTTAGCCTTTGAGAAATATGGCATTACGTAAAGCAACCAAACCTATGAGTTACAGGCATTCCTGAGGGAAAAAAGTTATTTTTTTGAAAAAAAATTTGAATTTTCACTTCTAATCAAGAACATTTTATTACCAGTTAAAATGTGTTATATGTACTTGATACTACTTAATCTAAACTATTGATTGATTTTTCACCTTGAAAGTTTTTTTCTTATGAATTGATTTTATGTCAGAGATTTGCTTCTTTTTTTCAAAATAGAAGAAACAAATGGCGCATGGATGAGGCAAGACAGGCCAAGAATTGAAAATTGCTTAATTTGGGTGATTTTTTTTTGAGAATTCATTATTTTATTTTCCCTGCTTAGCCAGATACATGCTTAGTAGTGCTATTCCCTTAAAAATAGATCTTTTTTTTATCTAAGTCAATATGAAAGTTCAAAAATAAACAATTTTTTTTCTAAAATGATCTGGTTTCATGACATTTGAGCAATTTTTTTCTATTCCAGGCCTCTGTGTTTTTTGTAGATGGTTTTTTTTTAGTTACAATTGACTGTCTTGAGGACTTCAGGGGATTTTTTTATTGTTCTAGAGAAATGTCTTAATCACCATTGAATTTTTTTTTTTATTTCATCTTGCTTTATCTGAAGACAAAATTTTTTTTATCCTAAGTATGTAAATGCCATCATCGTATTAGATTTTTTTTGTTTATTCTTAGAAAACAATGATACTGGAAAACTTTTTTTAGAAAGAGACAGGAACAGGAATAAAAATGTGAAATTTTTTTTTTTTTTTTTTTTTTTTTTTGAGATGGAGTCTCATTTTTTTACCCAGGCTGGAGTGCAGTGGTGCTGTCTCAGCTTTTTTTTGCTTCCCGGATTCATGCCATTCTCCTACCTCAGCTTTTTTTGTAGCTGGGACTACAGGCGCCTGCCACCACGCCCTTTTTTTTTTTTGTATTTTAGTAGAGACAGGATTTCACCGTGTTAGCCAGGATGGTCTCGATCTCCTGACCTCGTGATCCGCCCACCTCAGCCTCCCAAAGTGCTGGGATTACAGGCATAAGCTACTGCGTGTGGCCTGAAATGAAACTTTAAAGAGAATCCCCTTTTTTTTAAAAGCTAGAGAGACATTGAAGAGTGATCTGGTTTTTTTTTTAATGCACATAATCTATTTAGAAGTAGTTTTTTTTTTTTTCTAGACTAAACAGTCCAGGAAAGGCGTGAAAATAGCAGTCACTCAGGAAAACTTTCACAGCTATCAAGGAGATTTTTTTTTTGAATGCTGGAGAACAGAGCAACTAATTAAGGTGTTGAAAAGAAGATAGTTGAACCCGGAAAATCTTTGCATTGAATTTTTTTAAAGTAGAGCTTAAAGGAGTGAGCTTGACTTCTGACAAAAGATAGTGAATTAAGTATCTGCTTTTATTTGCTCCTTTTTTTTATCCCATCAAATGGCAATAAAGGATTTTTTTTTTTTTTTTTATTCACAAGAAAGAGAAGATTGGAAAAGAAGACCTTTTTTTACAATGTTGGAAGTGGGAATGCAGATGGGAAAGGTAATCCTAAGCCAGCAGTGAGGAAGCAGAAGTTCATCTGATTTTTTTTGAAGAATTTATCTAAGGTGAAGGAATGGGCAGTATTTTTTTCTTCTGGAAGTGGGACTGAAAAAAGAGATTGAGTTTTTTTTATTGTTTGAAAGTCTAGGAACTATCCAGATCCCATTTTTTTCCCCACAATCTGATAAACCACCCAAGGACCAGACTTTTTTTGACTCTAAAAAAATAATATTGTTAAAAAAAAAAATTTTTTTAACAAAGGGAACTTCAGGTTCGGTTGAGGTTGGAGGTACTGAACAGAAAATGAAGATTTGGATAATATTTACATCCTGGATTCTGAGCCAGCCCTCTTCCTACATTCAGGTCCCAGAATATTGGTCTTCATCCTCCAAAGAAGAGGTTGGGGATTTTTTTTTTTGGGAATATGATGGATTCAACAGGAAATATCTAAATTTTTTTTGAAAATTTGCCATTTAAATATCTCAACCAGATCTTTTTTTAGTAAAGCTCAGAATAGACAGACCTCCCCCACTCTTAGAGGGTATTAGTGCCCCTATTTTAAATAAATATGAACCTTTTTTTCAGAAACATCAGATAACAGGAAAGTATCTATAGAGATCAAAACAAGCAGAAACAGGCAACATGGAGAACAAATGTTTTTTTTTAAAAAATATGCCACAAATTGTTTGGCATTTCTCAGATCAGAGGGGAGAGTCTAATTCCTCTATCCTTGAATATGGTCTGGTCTTAGAAACTTGCTTCTAAAGAATATATTGTGATGATGCTGGGCTGTGTGATCTTTTTAGGCAAGGTTAGAAAAAGTGATGTAGCTCTTACATGATGTTTTCTCTCTCTCTTTCTCTTTTTTTTTTTTCTCCATTTACCCTTGGAAACCCAGCCATTTTTTTTTTAAGTATCCACATGAAAAGATGGCATAAGGTATTTTTTTTTCAATTCCAGCTGAGATCTTAGCATTAGCCAGTGCTTTTTTTCAGACATGTGAATGAATGAGAATTCCATCCCCAGTTTTTTTGCCACCTAGCTAATGCCAAGTGGAGTAAAGACAAGCTGTCCTCACAGGGTCTTATCAAAGCTACAGTTCATGAGCTTTTTTTTTACTATTGTTATATTAAACCAATAATTTTTGAATTTTTTTGTTATGTAGTAATAGAAAAACTTGAACACAGATATTTTTTTGGGAGAATAAATTTTCACAATTTACAATCAATTCTTTTTTTGGCTGAGATGAAGTAATAGGTACCAGATTTATCATCTTGCCTGAAACAGTGGAAATCTGGACAAAATGTATAAAATTTTTTTTATTAAGATACTGAAAGTCAGGCAACAAAATACCTTTTTTTCTGAGAAAAGGGAGATAAGTGAGGTTAGCTCTACTTTTTTTACAGATTACTACTTAGAGAAAGTTTCCAGACTGTTTTTTTTAGAGAAGGAATTCAGGCAGAGCCTAGTGGTCTCCTTTTTTTGGGGAAGCAGAGCTGGAAATTTAAGGAGGCCAAATTTTTTTCAGTTTACAGGTCAAGGTACTAGAGGGAAGAGAGTTTTTTTGGTGGGGGGCAGAGAAGAGAGACAGAGAGAGAGATTTTTTTCACAAACTCTGAGAAGGTATGTTCCCTTAGCTCATTTTTTTGCTGAGTAATCATCAATGCATGCCTATGAGGAAATTTTTTTAGGCCAGGGGAAAAAACACACAAAAGGATTATAGTATTATAGTGACTAACCCTCAGAGCTCACAAAAGGCCCTGGTTTTTTTACTGTCTCACCAGCCAGAGTGAAACGTCTTACAATTTTTTTAACACAACATAGAGTATAAAGACGGGTGTTGCTTTGGTAGAAGTGCAAAAGTAGCCCTAGATTAAATGCTTCTCTTTTTTTTTCTGGCAAAACTTAAAGGCACAGCTTGAAAGGAGTTTTTTTTTTCCAAGTAATGTAACTGCATCGAAGATTGGAGTTTTTTTTATTTATAGAAATGCAACAATAGGGCAGAGCGCGTTTTTTTACACCTGGAAATCTAAGGAGGCCAAAGAGAGTACAGTTTACAGGGCAAGGTACTAGAGGGAAGAGAGCTAGAGGGGTGGGGGGCCAAGGTAGGCAGATCACCTGAGGATGGGAGTTCGAGACCAGCCTGACCAGCATGGAGAAATCCCATCCCTACTTTTTTTTCAAAATTAGCCAGGCATGGCACATGTCTTTAATCTTTTTTTTTCGGGAAGCTGAGGCAGGAGAATCGCTTGAACCTTTTTTTCGGAGGTTG